TGCATGTAGTACACGTATGTATTGCATGTACATGTACCGTATTTGCCTGATTAGAAGCCCAGTTTAAATAAACGCCCATCCTTAAAATATTCTCACTATAGATGCGCATATTATAGCCAATTTAGATAGCCTCAACTTTAGATTGTTCCAAATAGCTTAACTCTTGAAGCGCAGTCTGGTGAGGTAGGGGGCATGGGTTCGATTCCATCTTTTGGCAACTTTTTTTCTTCTTTTCACACAATTTTTTCCCCTTGTTAATGAATAGATGCCCGGGCTTCTAATCAGGCAAATACGGTATATTTTAATCAGATTTTGCCACAGGGTTTCGGTCAGTGTTGTTGCAATTACATGATTTATTGTAATCATTACAACTGAATTACTGATCGAATTTACTGTAATCATTACAATTACAATTACTAATTGACACATGTAACCAAAAATGTAATCGTTACAATCACTCAATTACAGCTCAATTACGTGTCTTTTACAATAGATTTTTATTAACTTTTAAAAATACAAGGTTTTCAAAGTTTTTTGGTAATAAACGAAACCTGTTTGCAGATAATATTTTTCCTGCCTGGCTAAAAACTCTTTCAACAGGAGCTAGTAGCTAGTTGAAGTCATGTGATCATTTATCAGTGCATTTTACACTTGACTGAACATGAAAGAGCAAACAAAATGCTTGTACATTGTACAGTCAGTTTCATAAATTCACACTATTTACATGTACTGAAGTAATTGATTTTCCAATTACAATTACAAAATTTTAATTACAATTACCAATTACATCAACTTGAATATTTTCAATTACAATTACCATTACCATTACTTTGAAAAAGTAATCATTAGTAATTAATTACAATTACAGATTACAATTACAACATCACTGGTTTTGGTACAGTGCTTAGCTTCTTGTTAACTAATTTTAACTTGCTCTAAATTGATTTACTATTATAGTACATGGCCGAATTGGCCAAGAGAGAATTCTAAGTTTTATGACATTCTAATGCATATACGATGTGCTTATGTTGCGTAGAAAGTTTGAGCCAATTCCGATCAATATTGGATTTTTTTATGAATTTTACAAGTTGCTCCAAAATTTGAGCCAAAGTCCACGTACTAATTTCAGTAAATTGAAAAGTAAATTGAGTCCCGTAAATTTTTATGTTTGTTTATTATTGTGATTATTATTTTGTTTTTTTTTGTTTACAAAGTTCTACAAACCTTTACTAATTTATTTTTACCCAGCTTTAATTTATTTGAGGATATACATGTACTTTACATGATGTCAAGCCAAATTTTGCCAAAAATTACTAGGAAAGAATTCTTTATTTTTACATTTTCTGATGCCTATACATATTCTTATGTTGTGTAGAAGTTTGAGTTGATTCCGATTAACATCGGATTTTTACAAATAAAAAAAATTACTTAAAGTTTGAGCCAAATTCCACGTACTAATTTCATCAAATTGAAAAGGAGATAATTCTCTATTTTATAATGTTTCCTGATGCATATTCATGTACTTATGTTGTGTAGAAAGTTTGAGCTGAATTCAATGAAGATTGGATATTTTACAATTTTTAAAGTTTTTAATTTTTTACAATTTTTTTACATTGAAAATGCAATGTAGAGTAGAATTTGCGTCACAAGAGTAAAATTTATTAATAAAAATTTATTGTAGTACTTTGTCAGTTCATGAAGTATCCTTTTAGCTCACTTACGTGTAGCATGATTTGTGGGAAACTGTGATATTAGTATGACGATTCTGTGTACATGTATATACAAGTAGCATGTGTCATTTATCATTCAGGTGAATGGATCTCTCCAACTGTTACTGGAGACAGACCACCTCCTATTAGTGCCTTCACTTTGACATCAATAGCTAACAACAGTGCTATACTGTTTGGTGGTTTCACTGCTAATGGAACGAGTGACAAACTGTATGTTATTAAATTCAGCAGGATGTCAGTGATGAGTATAATTAACTACCCTATAGTGCTTTATTTTTGAGGAGCAAAACTTTTGCTACTTTCACGGGTTAGTATGCAACCACAAAATTAAAGATCCGCTAAAATTTCAATTGCCATTAAAGGCATGACACTTACATTGCAAATCTGCAAAATTTATTACCGCAAAAAATTGATTTATATCAATCCATGAAATTTTAACTCCACAAAATTAAAGCACTATATAGTACGATGATATTTAAGAGTATTTGAAATACATACATGTACATGTACATGTGTATATCTTAGTATGGGAGGTGTTGCTTATACATTTTAACCTCAATTGTATTATTTTTCAGGATATATCAAAAATATCTAATCCAGGAGGATCAGTAGAATGGCCTGAGGGGAGATGTGCTCATACCAGTGTATTGATTAATGGTACTTCAGGACCACACTTACTAGTGGTGGGTGGATATTATGCCTACGATTCTTGGATATATGATATAAACAAGAGGATTTGGAAGAAACTGGTAAGTCAAGCTCAAATTAATATTAAGCATGTACCGCAATTGTCATGATAGTGTCATTTAATGTATTGGGGCTTTTCCCAGCCCTATTGACTAAGTATAGGTTATACCAAGAGTAGATAATAATTAGAAGAGAGTGTCCTACTGTGCCTATACCCCCTGCTTCATCACGTCGTAGAATTGAGGAGTCACATTCAGGATACTTCTGTATTTTCATTGAGTAGTTATAGTTATTGCTAGTTATTTTCGAATAACTACTCAAAAATACTGAAAATATCCTGAATGTGACTCTTCAATTCTACGATGTGATGAAGCAGGGGGTATAGGCACAGTAGGACACTCTCCTCTAATTATTATCTACGTATAAGTCACTTGTGGTCTGTGTGTATTCAAGCATCAACTGATATATTTTATGAAGTCAAGAATTATGTAAATTTGTCATGATATTTCATGATGTGACCGACAAGTCTCAAGCTTTCTGGCAAAGTCCCATAAATTTTTACATTTGTTTATTTTTGTGATTATTATTTTGTTTTTTGTAGTCTGTGCCATTAGCTGTCAGTGAAAGATGTCATCATTCTCTCTCAATGTTGAATGTGACACCATCCATTAACTGGGCAATACAATTTGGTGAGAGAGGATCGGAATGTTCAGGAAGTATGAGAGTAATTGAATTGAGTAAGTAATTACATTAATTGGGTGAAACCCTTAATTACTTGTGACATTCATTTGTCTGTTTGTATGAATGTCAAGCTTGAGTGAGGCCTGCATTTATGTACAAGCATGATATAATGAAAACTGTGTGTAATAACCAAACAAGATCAAAAATACCATCCAAAGATATGAACAAGCTTATTAGTGTAAAATTTTCCTATAATTGTTTTCACCACCTTACATGTGTACATGGATAGCTCAGTTTTTATTGAGACTTATAGAGGTTCTTTTTATCATATAATGCTTCTCGAGACAGTCTTTATGTTCTTGTGCTGTTAGAAACTCAATTGCTTGTCTGACATGTAATTCACCATTTTTTGTTTGCAGTGGCCACACCAACATTATGTAAAGGGCGTAGGTGGTTGGTTGGTAAGGCATCTTGATTCTTATTTTCTCCACTACATCATGTATAGAAGAAATGTACACATGTATACATGTGTAAGTGTGACATTCAAATAATTTATATAAGCCTAAATGTACTTGTACATGTAATGCATAGCGCGGTGGTGAAAACAATTATACAAGCAGGAACAACCTGTGGCCCATCATATTGTACTGAAAAATAGTCAAAAGTTGTTTGCAAGATAGGAGCTCTGACTGTCATACCGTATTTCCTTAAATAAAAGCCCGAGCGTCTATTTCCTAAAATGGTATTTGGACCTCGAAAAAATATATTAAAAAAACTTAGGCCCAGAGCGGGGTTCGAACCTGTGACCTCATTCTTTTGACTTCTGCAACTTCAGGCATTATCCACTGGACTACACAGTCATTTCTAGGCTAGTACTGCGTATTTATAGTTAAATTGTATTGCTACCCTGGCGTTTATTCGAATGTGGCTTCTATTTAAGGATTTATGGTACATGTACATGTTAGCATCATGCATGCATGTGTATAAATTCATTCTTTGCTTGGTATAGCATATTGGCATGTAAATGTAAATTTAGATCTACTACAAACAAGGTCAACATACCGTATAGTGGAAAATTTTCATGGATTTTGCGTTTTTTTTCAAAATCCACGAAAGTAAAATCCACGAAAATTGATTTAATACGGTTCAAGATGGCCGAAAAGTAGAAAACCAAGAAAATTAAGCCACGAAATTGATTTTTGAATGGATCCGTGAAATTTTTGGGCCACGAAAATTTTCCGCTATACAGTACATTTATAAACTTGTCAAAGGTAAAAGGTTGCTATGGTTGCAACAAGCACAGA